CCCCCCCCCCCCAGTACACTAAAAGGGAAATTCCATACTAACACACTACCACTGAAGCCCTATGAAATATTTACGAAAGATCAAAGGTAAACCAGTTCGAGCACGATGATGATTTTCTGAACTTTAATCCCGTATGCTTGAACACTGAAGCGAAGCGCATTATCGGTTTGTAAATTTATACGATTGTAAGCGATGAATCGAATAGTTCTGTGTCTCTGTAAATACGTAATATTAAACTGTAACATTGAATATTTCTTATAAATTTTACACCTCATTTTAATTATTGGAAAATTGTGATTTTTGTATTCGAGACAGTTAACTTTAAAATTTATTATACATATTTTCTCCAGGAAAATTTAATATATTATACATTTTTTATTGTACTATTATGTTTTGTCATGCTTAATTTTGTTTGCGTTAATAATTTTTAAAATGCTCGCATTTCTCTTTTCTATATTTTGAACGTTCTGTAAACGTTCAAATTTGAAGCATGAAATTTGAAGCGTGAAATTCGAAGCGTGAAATTCCGGCAAAATGTCGGCAACTATACACAGAAAAATATATACTGTATCTAAATATCTTATGTTACTTGTTTCAGGCATAAAAGTTAATATATCATTAAAAGTTTATATACCTGCAAATCCATCACAACCAAGAAATTTATTTAAAATATATTCTAAATTCTAGTAAGAATATATACTTTAATAAAAAATATTAAGTTAAAACAAATTTGATTTGCTTATTATATACGTCCGCTTCTTTGATAAAATTTTATAATAAAATTTTATAATATATTTTTTATAAAAGTAAAATAAATATTTGGAGTACATGACAATAAGGTTTTTTAGAATTTACAATATGTACAGATAATTCTAAGACTATTATTAAGAATATATATTTTTTAAAGGTAACCATTACTTAAAACAAAAAGAAATAAACTAAGTAATCACTTTTCTTAGTAATAGTATGATATTTTTCTGTGTATAATTTTGGTAATAGATGATATTTCTACAGCTTTCGTTCGACAACTTTTATGTATACATTTATGAGTCAACATCTGCTTGATAAAGTGTGTTAAAGACAAAATTCTGTATACCTATCGACGCATCGATATCTTTCAAAACACATACAGTTACGTCTTAAAACTTTTGAGTTTAATATTTATGGTCAATCAAATAAAAAAATTTTTATTTAAAAATTCCATCGTTTAAGAAAATAAAATTCTTATTTTTAAAAATTTTGTTTAAAACATTATTCAATTTTTTACTTTAATAATTTAATAAAATTATTTTAAAAGGATTAGTGAAAAAATCTCAGGTATCTTTTGAAAAATATCATACGATTTCGAATCTTCTTGAAATTATCTATCAATCCAGCTGAACAAATAAAGGAACTGTTGTGTCAAATATCATTTACATGATGGTGGGATCTTTTTGTAATATTTCTCTATAATTTATTAACTAACGATTGGTGAAATATTCGAATTTTTACTAGCAATTATAACTGTGAAAACGATATGTAAAATTATGCGAAAAATAAATGTAAAAATCACACGACTTTTTAATGGAATATATGTTGCTTTTGCGATTTTTACATATCGCTTTTTTACAGTGTATTCGATTTTTCGGTCAGCTTTATATGAATTACATGATTGCGAATTACGATATTGCAGTCAATGCGACACTACAGGGAGCAGAGAGTTATTTGCTCTATGAGAAAAAACGTCTAAATTCCGTTCGTAATATGATATTTTTTCAAATTAGTAACATTATGGAACTGGGGCCTCATTCTTGAAAAATATTGCATACGAAAATTAACGAAAATATAAATATTACGTATATTATAGATTTTCCTTGAGATTTTTTCCTAGAGAGATTTTCGCAATTTTTTTTCACGAATAATAAGATTCTGTTCGAAATGGACTGCGATCGGAATCGTTCAATTATTTCCTAGATTTTTATTGTACTTACTTTCAAGAAAAAATTATCGGTATTATTTCAATTAGAATTCATTTCGTAACACGTGTCTTGATATTGTTTTTTTTTTTTTTACTATATACGACTGCGATGATCGTTGCATTAATTTTGATTGTATTCAAAGAAAATTCCTTTCTGCTTGATCGACGTCAAAAATGCCCGTATTCATAGTCAGATTCATTTGTACTTAAGGCTTTCTTAAATTTATCTTTAGATGCTCAGCGGCCAATGAAATAATTCGTAGAGCATCCAAAGATAAATTTAAGGAAAACCTTAAACATAAGACCCTGACTATGAATACGGGCATACGAGTCGCGTTATGTAACCTCGGGGCACAACGTTGCGCTAGAGCCGTCCCTGTAGAGGGGGCCTCGGTGTTTTCCAAATCAGCTGTTAGTACTCGCGCAGCGGGAGCGGGAGGGGAGTGGTGGGGAGAGGGGGGTGGATAGGAGACGTGGAGTGGGTGAAGCGCTCGTGTAGGGTCCGTCGGTTAGGTTCTTCACAGCTCTTTAGTCCACTACGGTCACGCGGGCAGTGTGCGTCGTGTGGATTCTCGCGCTTCGTGCAATTCATACATGGTGCATACGCATAACGGGCGCGATAATCGTGTCGCAGTGTCGTGCGTTTGTTACGGCAACACGGAGGTCCGTTACTTTCGCGAGGACACGGGCTGTTGATCTCGCGCGTTACCGAAACGCGGCCCCGGTGTTTCGGGGTGAAAGTGTCAGTCTCGCTTTGTAAAAGCGGGACTAACTCCAAAGTAGACGAGGTATCTACAAAAATCGTCATCTTCCGTTGCGCGAATGTTCCGCACGCTCGCGACCTTCGATCTCGGAATTATTCAACGACAGTGTATCCGTGATCGACGTCCTCGTTGAGCTGGAAAGAGACAGGCTAGAGAGAGAGAGAGAGAGAGAGAGAGAGAGAGAGAGAGAGAGAGAGAGAGAGAGACAGAGACAGAGACAGAGAGAGACAGACAGCGTCCGATGAGAACTTTTGTGGCTGTCGTTCGTGTCTAAAAACTCCGAGGATACGACATTGGTGCAGAGGCTACATTCCGATGTCGGGCCGATAGAATAGCGCGAGTGTGGTGAATCAACACGTTGCGATCGCGCACGAGATTACGGCTCACTGTCGACGTTCCCAAATGTTCCGCAGCACGCGACGTCCCGTCAGCTAGCACGCCGACCGCGACGACGTTCTCGACCGAACGATACTCTCCTGAAGAAAAACAGGGCGAGATATTCGCGAATCTGGTCAAGGCCCCCTCCCCCTTCCCCCCCCAGCATTCGACACAACGATCGTGCGAACAGTCCGCGCCGCATGCTGCGTGCGTGGTTCCTAAGTGTGTCAGTAGGATAACCGACGACGTATACGTTTAACTGACACTTCTGCCGGATCATCACGGGCCTACGACGTTCGCTTCCGTGCGAACAATTAAGTCTACGGGTGTCTACGGAGTGCGACTGCGAGCTGTTGATGTTTACGTAAAGATTCGCCTGCGATCGCTATCGACGTTTGCCGAGATAAATTACAGTTGTTTTTTTCTTTTCAACTGAACTTATAGCGCACGAGTGCCGAGAGCAGGATTTAGAGCCCAGCCGAAGTGCGACACGTAAATTGTACTCGTATCGTGGCTAATATATTTTCGAACAACGAAGTAGTACGAACCGAAAGACCCGCGGCGATCGAAAGAATCGAAAGCGTAGATACAAGTTGATGAAAAAAAATGTATCAGGACCGAAGCCGTTAGACGAGACAATAATTATCGAATTATCTCTTTAAGAGTTTTTCCGAAGGATCGGATTGTTACAATCGCGATCAGTGATTATTCACCGGGGGGAACCGGAAGAGAATTTTCAACTGGATCACAACCTGCTCGTTGTTACGATACGATAAGGAACGCTTTGGGATCGTTAAAGTGAAGAGTTCGACTTGCATATGTCGATCGCCGGTCTACCGTCCCCCGCCTCTTTCTTCCTGCTTCTTTTTTATCTTTATTCCTACTGACATTGCTTGCGCCGCGACGACAGTGACGTACGCGGCATAAACCCGTACCCCGAGCCCGCAGTTTCGCGATGGAGGAAGATGAGAGTCTGGTGCAGGCGACCGACAGTGTCTCGATCCCGTCGAAAAAGGAAAGTGGCTATTTCGAGGAGAACTGCGGCGATCTAAGCGACGTCATCTTCAGTAATTACAATCACTATGGGGCGCTCCTCAGTGTCGATACTGCCGGGATTTTGATCATCAACGAGACCAGACGATCGGACCATTGGGAGGAGAGCAGGCAAGGATCCTCCTTTTCTTCCGGTCTTGTCGAGGACATAAACGATCTTGACGTTAACGACACTGACGAGGTTAAAGACGACATCGTCATTATCAAACATCCTGAAGAAGCCAGACGCGATGTAACCGACGCATCCGACGTAGTTCACAGTCCTGAAGGCTCCAAGGAATTTCTTTGCACCCACGAGGACTCCGCGGCGGTTCTTCGTATTCCTGAAAATCACGAGAAAAACATTGACTCCGAGGTACCGGTCTGCATTCACGCGAATTCAAAAGCGGTCGTTTATATTCGCAAGAGCCCCGAAGTGATCGATTGTACCAAGGAGGATTCGACAAGTGTTGAGTGTGCTACCAGTCCCTCTACCATTGCTGAAGATTGGAATGATGCGGAACTATCTGTTTGTGACACAGGTAAAACCGTCTCTGTCGATAATAATGATGTTACATCATCGTCGTATGGATCTTTTTGTTCTTGCACAAGAAATCATGTCTTCATTATTCGTACTTTGCTCATCCGGCGATTAGTTCTTCGGTGCCTCATCAGGCTTGCTTATCATCATCCCTCGATAGTACGAAAACAATCGTCTTTCGTATCAAGAATCGTGTTTTGCATACTCATCGTTAAACAGAAAAACAGATACGAGAAATTGAAACGTAAAAGAAAAGCGATGTGTAGGATTTTTAAAACGCGGAATTTATGCCGACCAGCGAATGTTTACTGTGCATGATATTTAGCAATGGCTTCAACAGGTCGTAAATACATACAGTGAGAGCAAAAAGTATTTGTACAAGGGAATTTGTTATAAAAAAAAGTCTTATTTGTGGAAAATTAACATGAATTAGCAATTTTATAGCAATGAATACATTCTGCTCTAACATAAACAGACGAGCTTTGCATATATTCCTGATTTTAGCAGCTAAATTTCTCGTCTGTATGAATACTTTTTGAGCACATTCAGATAATATAATTTTTAATTTTTCCTTATTTTTCAGATGATATATTTTGTATAATTAATACACATCTTTTTGGTACATATCATTTTAAGAAACATACGTTTATTTTATTCTTAATGAATAAATTGTTAATTATCCAACAAGAAATGATCATCAATTTAATCGAATTGACGTCAAATTGATGTTGAAATCATCGTATTTATATTGATTCGAGATCAATTAGATAACTCGTTTCTCGCTGGATAATATTTACAGTTTAAAAATAAAGTTTTTTTAAAACAGATTTTCTCTGCACGAATACTTTTTGCACTTACTGTATGTATAAAGTACAGGCTTCTTAAAACCTATTAGGTATCGATCTGATTGTTTAATATTTTTTTATTCGTTACTGGGTTGCGGTACAGCATTCGCAATGCTCGTAATCGTAAAAATTCATAATTTGTAATGATATGCATTATATCAATTTATTTCGCAGACACGATTTGATTTCTTTAAGAGAAATAGATATATTCTCTTTACTTATTCTTTTGACATTAAAATGATGAAAATGACGAAACCAAAAAACACTTTAAAGAACGCATTATATTTAATAGGTACTCTATTCTAATATTTTAAGAAGTCTGAGAATTTGATTATTCCTTTTAAATTATTCTTTTTAAATCGTGTAGAATGTTTGAAAATGAAATAATTCTTAATACATTAACGTGTAAAATGTTTTTAAATAAATTTAAATTGGTAAATTTAAGTCTGGGCCTAATGATGTATATTCTCTAAATTTCTAGGAGTGAAATCTCATTTCAAAAGAATGAAAACTGCCACTGTAAAAAGAGTTTATATATTTTTATTTATTTTGTTTCTTTTCAATATAGTGGCAATATTTTCACTCTTTTGGAGCGAGATTTCACGGCGAGCCATTATAACGATATATAATGAATGAAAAATCATTAAATGGATTTTCATAACTTAAAAACTCAGACGGCTTAAACTTTTAAGACCATTAAAACTTTAGACAATCCCTATCTGTTAAATATTCGAGAGTTTTGAGTCAGTATGTAAACCTGGTAAAGTTCATTAAATTATAAATTTTCAACTTACAAATTTTCACGTTGTATTGTAAAAATCTATTTCCCTATCGCAGATAGTTTATCTGATACGATTAATTTGATGAAAGGAGAGAGAGAAAATATTTTCATGACAAGTCATCAAGAAAAATAAAAGAAAGAAAAGAGTAAAGAAAACAATGTTAAAAACAAGAATATTCTTTTAATGTTCTTCCAGTTTTCAAGGTAGTTTTCATATTTTGAACAAAGAGAACTAAAATTTCTCAAAAATTCTCATAAATCCATACGTATGGCCCAGCATTATGGCCTTCATACTATTAGCCTCAATTTTATTACAGATGCAATTTTATGACATATGTGTGTACATTATGTATACATGTTCAGATGAAGTATTCCCAATCCTTATTATGTCTCTGAGATTTCACATCTATGTTAAGATTTTTTTCTAATGTTCGCTGCATTTTTTAAGATCACTACCTAGGCTATTTTTTACTCAGATTCGTTGA